CTGTTATTTGTCTTTAAAAATACATCCTCAGTCTCACCATTTTGTAATCTCTACCATCCCAATTAGAACCACATCCTCTCTCCCCAGTTTTTCCAAGAGCTCCTAACTCTTCTTTCCTTGGTGCTTAGCCCCTTTGGCCTACACTCTCATCAGGCAGTCTGATTTTGTTCCAATCTAAGAGAGAGGATGCCACTCTGCTCCTGTTCATCTGTTCTCTCTGCTTAACTAGGAATGAAGGCTGCGGGTTTTTGTAGGTTATGAGCCCTATGGATCACCCCTGCCCACTCCCTCCATTCCCACTCCAGGATGAAGTCACAATGCTCCTCTCTCGCACCCCGCTCCAGCCACCTGCCACAGGGGTTCCCTGACCTCCTGGGCATCTTTGTTCCAGTGTTAACTCAGGAGCCCTTCCTTAACCACCTTGTGCAAAAGAGCAAATGCTTTCCCTTTCTCTATTGATCACATCACCCTGCTGATAAATACATAGAAGGGGTAAATTCATTGTTTCTCTAACTTCATAACTGTCAAGTTCAAGAGGGTAGAGATTCTTGTCCCTTATGTCTTCTATTGTATCCCAGCTAGAATAGTCTCAGTCTGCTGCAGAGCTCATGGCATTTATCCAATGAATAAAGGGCACTAATGCATTAACCATGAAATAATTATTAGCCATCCGCAGAGAAACACACATGGTCATAAGGACTACTCAGCATTGCAAGAGAAAAGCAAGTGTTTTGCAAAACACAAAAACACAAACTACCTTAATCCCTCATTATATTCATGAAAAGCATTCACTAAACCACTAAGAGCAGTGACTTCCAGTTTCTAAGCTGAGCAGATGTTTTTATGAGCATTATAAAAGACAGCAGTGCCACTATTGTTACAATGTCAGGAGTTTGCAATATTGCAGATACAAAAAAACAGTGATTAGATAAATATTTATCCTTTCATATAATTTCAAGACAGATGACAATAAGAAAAGAAAGCATAACTACATTCCTAACAAGAGAAATTTTTACTTTATTTATTTTTTCAAAATGTTTAAAATTTATTTAACTGATACATAAAATCATAACAATTGTATAATTCATGGAGTACCATGTAATGCTTTGTTACCTACACTGTATGTATTGTGTAATGTTCAAATCAGACTAAACATGATCTATCTCAACACTTACCATTTATTTATACTGAAAATGTTCAGAACTACTGGAGACCCCCTGAAACACTACCAGAAACCTCTGCAGTAGGCTCAGTCTCCTACAGTGTGTGGTTCAGGCCTGGGAAAAAAACCTAAAAGACAGCACTAAGAGAGACAGAAAGCAGGACACCAGGAAGACCAATGCCAGTGCAACTGACAAAGGCCCTGGTATCCAAGCCAGTGATTGTTATTGGTAACCAATTGGGGTAAAGGTGAGCTACATGCAAGGGTAGCACTATGTGCAAGGATGTGCAGTCATGCAGTTTCTATGGAAATTAATGCAAGCAAGGCTCATAAAGGAAAAAGATAAAGCATTCTGGAATTAGGAACAGAATAGACACAGTTATAATTAGAATATTATCCTTCTAGTTAGAAGGTTGTAGCTGGGGGAATGGAATTTGGGTGTGGGTTACTCTGATTGCAGCATATAGACTTCGGCTGGACTAATTTCTATAAACAAGCCAACTGTGGGGTTAGCCCTTCACAGCCTGCACTGCTCACAGCCTACTCTGGGCATGATCAATATTGCAGTCTCCTGCAAGAATCCTATCTCATAGCTTTGCTTTCACCTATAGTCACCTTACCATGCAACTATACCCGGAGTTCCTTGCTCCTAGCTGTAACTTAGTACTCACCGGCCAGCACCCCACCTCCCAGCTGCCCCACAATAAGCACCACTGCTGAGCACCACATTACTCTAGACTGCTAGGAAATTTCAAATCCTAACACTAAGAATGAGATTGCTATTTCTTTTTCCTTTCTTTCTCTTTTTCTTTCTTTCTTTCTTTTTTTTTTGTCTTTCTCTTTCTATTTTCTTCCCTTCCTTTCTTGTGAGAATGCATATTCTAAAGACCAAGTGGTGCTGGATGTTGTATTCAATTTAAATACAAGAGAAGCTAAGCACAGTAATGTGGCCCTGTAACCCCTGCTACTCAGAAGGCTGAGGCAGAAGGGACACAAGTTGTAGTCATCCCTGGATAACTTGAGGAGACCATTTCAAAAATAGAATAAGAGGAGCTGGTGATGTAGCTCAGTGGTACGGTGCTTGTCTAGCATGATCAAGCCCTTGAGTTCGACTCCTGAATACATAAAACAAACACATTTTACAAAAAGTAAATGTAGTAAAAAGATGCCAGATGCTACACTAATTTTCTATAATTTCAAACAAATTAAAAGAGAAAAAATTGAATAAAAAGGAAGAAAAGAAAAAAAGAGGAAAACAAAAAGAACATAATATGATAGAATTGGAAAAAGAAAATAATGCTCTATCATAGAGCTGGGGCAGGGATGGGGGCAGGACACACTTGAGGAAATCCTCCCTAGTTTCTGGTGCTTGACCAGTCTTCCAAAGGAGTACCCGCTCTCCAGGGTGACGATGGCAGGAGGGTGTTTCTGTGCAAGAATATTTATGGGAATTAAGGGGGAAAGAAAAGAAAAATCAAAACTCAAATCAAATTAAACAACGAAGAATCTGCCTGGAAAAGTAGACTAGGAGAGGAATAGAAAGTTTAAATGGGGAGAAAAATTGTGAGTTTGATTTCTTGTAGTCTGTGGAAAATAGAAGGGATCCATTAATATAAATTGTTATTTTTAATAAGGATTAAATTAGTACCTAGCTAATTTTTAGAGTGTTGATAACCCCTTGAGGCCTGCTTTTAAAATCTCATGGAGGAAGGAAGGAAAGGACTGTCTGGCTAGGACGCAGTGGACAAAGGGTGGGAGCGACACTTCCTGACTGTCAATCCAGACACAGCCTACAGTAGCCAACACCAGCGACCTCTTGCTGTGGAACCACACAGGGTTTCTTGCTTGAGGTCTAAGATCAAGAGACAGGAAAGGATGGGGACCAAGCAGAAAGAGGTGAAGGGAAGTGTAATAAAATAGAAACACTAAGCCCCCAGCACCCCATGCCTTACAAACTGGCAACTTGAGGACAGTGCAGTCCTGGTAATGTCAATAAATCAACTCTGAAATCGCAGTGTAGTTCTTGCTTACATGGTAGCATGAGGCAGGTCCAGCTTTTGCAGTTGTATTTTCTCTGTTGACCATCCCTCTCCCAGTCCACCTGTGTGACTCCCTGCCTGACTTGTCCAGAGATTTGCTCAGTCGCTGTTGTTCTCTGCATGAGGATGGCTCCCTATGGCTTTTAACACCCGCGTTCTTCCTCGCTGCTGTATTTTCCTCTGATGCACTGAACCTAACACATTCTTTATGCTTCAGTTTTTAAAGAATCACTGTCCTCCTGTTACTTGAATGTTCAGTGAAGGATGGTTGTGTTTCTTACTCTATCCTTGACACTTATGAGTGTCTTGTATATCATAGGTGTCTAATGAACAACTGTTGAATGAATTAAATATCATTTACCTAAACTAGGGAAACATTACATTATATTCACGAACATCAGCTTGGTGTCAGATGTGCTACAGTTCTAGCTATACCTCTTACTAGCTTATTAACTTTGATGTCACTTAATGTCCTGTGATCTAGTTTACTTATTATTAAATATATCTAAAATCATATACTCTGCATAGAGCTGTTATCAGTAGGACAGGAAACAATACATGCAATGTTTCTGGATCATGGAATGAACTCAGAAAATGCTAATTTACAATCAGTGTTACATATTAATAGTCTAGATACAACCACATAATACTTAGAACATAGCTGGTTTTACCACTACTAATGTGATACTCTTAGCTGCTCTGACATAATATATCATGCTATAGTAGACTCTAACCATTATTAAGGCATATTTATTAGAAACAAAGTTGTCTTTCTTCCTCAGGATAACTCAATTGATTGAATTCCTGAAAACACTACAGAGAGTCATCCACATCAAGATTCATATTCGACAGATTTAAACATATTCAGTGACATAGCTCTCGAGACATTTTGATTTCTTCGAAGAGGCTGAATCTGTCCATCTCTGAATTTGAGGAGATGCTGTGTCATGTGGAACATGAATTTTGTGAAGTGCATTAACAGCTCTGGCCAACTAGAGTCACCACAGAGATTTCCCATTTGATACTCCCTCACACTGATTATAGATTATTGGTTATTTATAGGCATCTTTATATTCAATTGTTATTATAGTATTTTGTATATTTTCTAATGGTAGCTCTCATTTTTCAATATTTTCTCCCCTTTTGTGGCAGTTGCAATTTTAATCTCCTAATTTTTATCTCTTGATGTATCTTTAGATATATAGAGATATTTTAGATATTTCGTTATATCTTTTCATATCTTTAGCATGTTTTCTATGTTTCTTTTCTTCTGGATTTCTTATACCCTTTAGCCAAATTGACACTGTTAAAGCTTCTCAACTTTAAAGAAAAAAAATCTAAAAATTAGTATAGCTATTCTTTCTTTCTTTTTTTTTTTTTGGTACCAGGGATCAAACTCAGGACCTTGTGCTTCCAAGGCAGGTGGCAGAACCACTGAGCTAAATCCCTGGCCCTAGTGTAGCTATTAATACTTAAGAATCTCTTCAATTCTTATAAATATCTCTGTCTTTAATAGATATGTCCAATTCAGTTTGCATGGTTTTAATTTTGTTTTCAGAAAGCATAATCACATGAAATAGCACAGAGTCAGTAATGCTCAGGAAATCAGGGTCAGCATTAATGCAGTAAGAGACAAAGCTTTCATGGGATTTTTTGGGGGGTGACTTATCACTGGATGCATCCGGGGAAACTATACTTAGGTAAACCTAGAGAGAACATGCAAATGAGAGATCTGTGCATTCAGTGGAAGAGAAAGAAGAAAAATGCAGGTGAAAGTAACTATTTTTTCTCTTTTCCAGCCCTAGGAAAAGATAAGGATTATATGGATGAATCACAACATGCTAATTATGACCGATCTTGTCTCATTGATGACTTTGTTATCAAAGATAAACCTGAATCCAAGACAAAATTGTCTAAGGTAATGTAAATTAAACTATCAATAAATCACTTCTAGACCATAACTTTTGAAACTTCTAAATATTCATTTACATGGTTGGTTTCATGCTGGAAAATATAGAAAAGACAGGGCCCAAACCTGAAAAGTTATTTATAGATATCATATTCATTTTTATTACCAAATTATTTTTCTTTTTAGCAGATTTAAAGTTTTTCTCTTTTATTTTATTTTTAAATTTTTATTGCTACATAATATTTGTAAATGTTAATTGGGCATAATGTGATGTTTCAATACATGTATGTGTTATAATGACCAAAAGTAACGAGCACATCCATCACCGTGAGCATGTATCATTTCTGTGTGATAAGGACACTTATAAACCTCTCATATTTATTTTGAAGTATATGTTGCTTACTTTGCTAGCTATAGTTACCCTATTTTGCCATAGAATAGCAGAACTTTCTCCTTCTGTGAGATTGCAAGGCTGTACCTGTAAAATAGAATTTTTAAAACATTTGATCATAAATGTAAAATTATGCGGTAATTTTCTCGTTAGAGGATCCCCCCTTCATTTTTCATGCTTTAGGAAGTCAGTAACGTTTAATGTGAGTGTAGATTTTAGTATCAACTGGTCGAATATCTGAATTCCAGTTCTGCAGTTGACTAATTGTAGTACCTGGATCAGATTGATTATATTCACCAAGCCTTGTTTTGCCCATCTGGAAACTATGAATCCTGTTCTTTGCTGGACAAAGTTCTTTGAAAACAAAATGAGATAACTGTGTTGATGTGCCTGTCCAGTCAGCAGCTGACTGCTGTACCACAGGTGTCTTTGACAATATGAAGGTGGGGAGCACCGCATTGAAACGAGAGCTCAGCAACAAATGAAAATCTGCACTAGAGCATGGCTTTCAAAGCCCCTTACTCCAACAATTTCACTCTCAAGTAGAATGTTTTTGTGGATTCTCCAAAGCCTCCAACATCCGATGCCAAATTTCTGCGGCTACCTTTGCTTATGTTTTAACCGATTCACATTCCTCTCTGGACACTTTCCAGTATCCAGGATCCTTTCTCAGGCCAAACTTACATTTCCCCCACCTTTTTGACTGAAGTGAGGATGCTTTTGTAAAAGAGAAATTTGGATACTTGGCCCACGAGATGACTATGTCAGTGGTCACTCCATACACTGCTAATAACCACATCCTTGAATGTAATTTTCTATGTGATGTTTGAATTTGTTTGGCTTAATCTTGTAAGTTCTTTTATTAATCACCATCAAATCATCACCATCAAAGAAGGAGTGACAGAGTTGAATATCATGACAGTATTGTGGAGGAGGCCAAACTTTAATAGATTCCGGCGATACTTGTTTATGGAAAATTTCTTCATTCCTATTTGTTTTGGTTTTTGCTGAAGAGATTACTATTCTGTCCCAGTAACTCTTAGATTATCTTTGCCAATCACAGGTTTGTGTCCCTAGGTCCATTTCTTCTCCTTCCCTGTGTCTGATCAGCATAAATGATGTTTGAGTAGTCTTTACAATCTGTTAAATGTTGTATCAGTGAACTGATAGAGTTATAAGAGAAATCAAGACGTTGTACATTAAGATGTTTGTAACACCAGTTATATAGGAACAAGCCTACAAGTTCATCCCTGACTGGGAACCAGTGAGGACTAAAGACAAAAAAAACAAAGATAATTTGGAAGAGGAGGCCCAGGGGACTTTTGCCTCTAGTGGACCAAGAGTCCCGATCTGGCAATGTTCCTCACTTTTATTAGGTTTGCACATACCAGAAACAAGCAAGTGATCCAGGGTTCGGGGAAAGTTTATCGGGTTCTCACGATTTGTAGACTGCTCTGGAAAGTGTACTTCCTTTCACCCAGACCTCAGCGGTAGTTGGTTCTCATCTTGAAACTGGCTGGCAGCTGCACGCTGGCAAACAGCTCACTGTCCTCATCCCCGTATCTCAAGGAGAGTCCACCCCAGGCCTCATTCCACACCTGGTTTCCCACAAATGGAAGACAAAAACAGTATGCTTTAAATAATTAGAAAATGAGTTAAATGTGTCATCTTCCTCTTTAGAATTTACCACATTGCCAACAATGGTTGCCACCGTTTCAAGTCTCCTCACAATAGCTGTTTCCCAACCATGATTTTCTCAAAACTTGAATCTTAGAATATCAAAGTTAAAAATAATTAGTTGAAACTACATGTATATTTTAATTTTAATATTAAAGCAAGAGAATATGGTAATAGATCACTACAATTTGATGGCCAGATGTCTTACTGAATCTGCTTGCTTCCCAACTCTTAGACTATTACACTTCTCAAACAGTAGAAAAATACCCTGAGTCACTCAGGAGATCCAACTTCCAGCTTATCTCAAAATAGGTCCACTTTTATGCATTTTGAGGTGAGAGTGTAGCACCAATTCCATTCAGAAAAGATGTTCCATTGCAATAAAAAAAACTATTTGAAAGCTGTGTAGGTGGACACTTTGCAAAGCCTCTCCACAGGTGAAGAGCTAAATAATCTGCTTAGAAAGTGCTTTGGGAGTACGTTCATCTGGGGCGTATCAGCATGACCTGTGTTTGCATTGTTGGTACTACTCTCTGGATGTTTTGTCCTCTATCAATACTGTGACCTTCTTCTCTTGCTATACCCAGCGATGAAATGATATGTGTAATTAAAATATGTGCATTTTACATTGGATCTTATGAAATGTGTAATCTTCACTCAGGACTTACAAACAACAAATGTCACATACTTCAAGTGAACATGTACATAATGGATATTTTACTTTTTCACAAAAACTTAATTGTAAAGGGAACATTTCAGAGATGATAAAGCAAGTTTATGCAGAGTTAAAATGAAGGAAGCTAGGCCTGAAAGGGGAAAATTGGGCCTAATGTAAACGAGGTATTGAGTGATGACAAGTATTGCATTATAGAAATTAACAGAACAGTGGGGGCTAACCTATGGCACATGTGCCACAGTGGGCTGTTTGCATCATTGAAAGCTCTCAACGGTTCACCATCACCACTACAGAGCTTTCTAACAAAGTTTGCCATCAGCTTTTAAGCGAGACCACTGGAAATAATTCCAAATGGTCCAAGATGGTCTCTTACTTTAAATATGTGAAGAAACTGTGCTGAAGAGGTCAAACGTAAAAGCCAAGAAAGAAACCCAGAAAGGCACCTGAGTAATTTTCTGAGCATTGTGTGGATGGACTCTGCGTATGTTTGAAATTTTGCTTTGTCAACCATCATGTGAACATTTTCTGACTGATACTGAGTTGGGTGCTGTATATTTATTTTCATAATGTGTCCATAATTTATGATGATTTAAGCTAAGTACATTCTCATGTGATTGTAGTTTGTGTAAAGATTAATCCAGAGAAAAATAAATTATATCTCTGGGTACTCCTCTTCCAAACATGCATTTCTAGCATATACTGTTTACACTGAAAGTTTCCTATTTTAGAGATCAAAAGAGTATCTGCAATACTGATTGACATCTAATATCATAAAGTGATACCAATAACCTAAGCAGATTGATTAGAAAGCTGCTATGTGCAAAGTTCGGTATTTTAGGACAGAGAAAGACAGCAAATGTGGGACTGCTTTTGCAGTCTGCATACGCGATATCATTCAGGATGGAGACTTGTACATCAATGAAGGAAGTAGAGAGACTCTGGGGATTAGAAACGGCACTGAATAAGAACCAAATCTCCATTCAGCCAGGCTTAAGCTTAAGATTATAAATTACATTTAAAGATCTCAGAGAAATCTGATAGATAGAAAATCTTTTTTCATTATGTCCACTATTTTTTATGGGATTTTTTCATCTCCTCTCATCAAGAAAGTCTATTGAACTGGTCTTGGGCCATTCTTTGATCAGAAGGATGCTAAAGAAATAGCACTGTGCTAGCCCTGAGCTTTGTGCTCAGAAAACCCTGCACTACTGTCTCTCTCTCTTGGGACACTCAATGTGTTAGGGATGGAGGAAGAGAGACCCCTGCACCACAGCCTGATGAGAACAGTTGCTCCAGGGAAGCCAGCGATATGATGCAATGTGGGTGCAGAGGCCGGGAGAGTTCAATCCATGAGAAATCCCAGCTGGGAGCAGAAGAACTACCTAGCCAGGGCTAGCTTCTGTTCAGACTCATGAACTGAAGAATTGCTTTTGAATGGTTTGTGTCTCAGCAAAAGATAACAGAGAAAGCCTTAAATATTATAGGGCAGAATGTTGGATGACAGCAGCGTTTAACATCAAGTGGGAAAATTTGAAAAATGTCCTCAGATTTGCCACAAAACATTCACATTAATTCATTTCACTCTGCTGAGCCTACATATATTTTAATAGCATAACTTTAATTGCATTATTTGATCAGCCTATTTAAAACTCACTAAATTTGTTCATATTTTTAAAACTCCATTATCAAAAGTACTTTCTTTGTAAAAACATTAAATGAGGATTAAATTTCAAGATTATCTTTAATTGAAATATATGTTTATGTTAGCAGTAGTCAAAAGCACCCATTAAAATTGGTGAAGAACAATTTTTTAAAAGCAAATTTTTTTTGTTTTATTTACATCTTATGAAAAGGCTCTACCATACCTGTGTGGCCAAGACATTTCAGGAGGCAGTTTTGTGAGACAGAAAAGGAGCAGGCCTGTGACTTCACAGGTGGGACACACAGGCTGACATGAAGCAGCCTTCTGGAGCAAAAGAGAGGGTTTGTTTTTAGGACAGTTTGGTTAAATATTGCCTTTTTCTGTCTCATGAATATAGAGAGCAATGTGAGGACCCTTTGAAAACAGGAGATCTCAAAACTATTATTCCATTTTCCTTCAAGTAGCCGTATTCTACATAGGAGCTTAGGCCTCGGGATAAAGACAACATACAGAGGACACCTACAGCTGGGCTAGGTTGATAGAAATAAGCGTGTGAAGCACAGTCCTTGAAAGGATGAAAGGAATTGCATCTTTGAAATGATGTTGGGTATCCAACCAGTCGA